GATAAAAAACACTCAACAAAGTAGGAATTGAAGGGAAATTCCTTAACATAATCAAGAGTATTTGTACAAAACCAACAACCTACATCATTTTCAATGGAGAGAGACTGAAAGCCTTCCCTCTGTGAATGGGAACCAGACAAGGATGCCCTTTGTCACCGCACCTTTTCAATATTGTTTTGGAAGTATTACCCAGAGCTATACGGCAAGATAGGGAAATTAAAAGCATCCAAATTGGCAAGGAGGAAATAAAGGTCTCTGTCTTTGCAGATGATATGAGCCTATACATAGGAAACATAAAAGACTCAGTAAAAAAGCTATTAAACATCATTGAAAGACTCAGCAAAGTGGAAGGGTATAAGATCAACATATAAAAATCAGTTGGATTCCTCTATAGTAACAAGGACAGCACTGAAAAGGATATTAAGAAAGCAATGCCTTTTACAATAGTCACCCAAAGGATGAAATATTTAGGAACAAACATAACCAGAGAAACAAAGGACCTATACAAAGAAAACAACAAAACTATAAGAAACTACAAGAAACCAAAAGAGACTTACAAAAGTGGAAGAACATACCATGTTCCTGGATAGGAAGACTCAACAGTGTGAAAATGTCAATACTACCCAAAGCAATGCACACATATAATGCAATCCCAATCCAGATTCCAGAAACATTATTTAAAGAGATAGAAAAGACAATTACAAACTTTATATGGAAAGGAAAGAGACCCAGGATAAGCAAAGCACTGCTCAAGAAGAACAAGGTTCAAAGCCTCTCACTCCCTGATTTCAAAATTTACTACATAGCTACAGTGGCAAAAACAGCCTGGTACTGGTACAATGAAAGATGCATTGATCAGTGGAACAGAATCAAGAATCCAGAAATCAACCCATCCACATACAGCCAACTGATTTTCAAGAAAGTGCCTTGGTATGTTACATGGGGAAGAAATAGTCTCTTTAAGAATTATTTCTTTTGTTGTGGGTCTGTTCAAGTTTTCTACTTCACTCTGTGTAAGTTTAGGTAGGTCGTGTTTTTCTAAAAGTGTATCCCTCTCTTCTTCTAAGTTTTCAAATTTTTTAGAGTATAACTCTTCATAGTATTCTGTTATTATCCTTTTGATTTTGTTTGGTTCCATTGTGACATCGCCCATGTGGTTACTAATGAGAGTTATTTGTGTCTTCTCCCTCTTTTCTTTTGTTAGGTTTGCCAATGGTTTGTCAATTTTATTAATATTTTCAAGGAAATAGCTTCTTGTCCTGTTGATTCTTTCTATAGTTTTTCTGTTTTCAATCTCATTTATTTCTGCTCTTATCTTTATTCTTTCTTTTCTTTTGGTGACTGTAGGGTCCTACAGTTGGTCAGTTTCTGATTGTTGGAGATACTGTGTTAATGTGTTGATTTTGGTTCTCTCTTCTTTTTGGATGTGCGCATTTATTGTAACAAATTGTCCTCTCAGCACTGCTTTTTCCATGTCCCAATGATTTTGCTATTTTGTGTTTTCATTCTTGTTTGTTTCTAGGAACATTATGAATTCACGTTTAATTTCTTTTTTTACCAAGTCGCTTTTTAGCAGGGTGTTGTTCAGTTTCCATGTTTTTGACTATTTCCTTGGTCTTCTTATTGTTGATTTCTAGTTTTATAGTATTGTAGTCTGAAAAGATGCTTTGTAGTATTTTGATTTTGTAAATTTATGGAGGCTTGCTTTGTGACCTAACACATGGTCAATTCTGGAGAATGTCCCATGTGCACTGGAGAATATCTATTGTGCTGTTGTTGGGTTGAATGCTCTGTATACATCTATGAGGTCAAGTTGGTTGATTGTCCTGTTTAGTACCTCTGTAACTTTGTTGAATTTCTTTCTAGTTGTTTTTTCCCTTTTCAAAAGTGGCGAAGTTATCCAGGACTTCATTCTTCTTGGTTCAACCATCCACATCATGGAAGCAGCAGTCAAGAAATCAAGCAATGTATTGCATTAGGCAAATCTGCTGCACAAGACCTTTTTAAAGTGTTGAAGAGTAAATATGTCAGTTTGAGGACTAAGGTGCACCTGACCCAAGCAGTGGTATTTTCAGTAACCTCATATGAATGTGAAAGCTGGACAGTGAATTAGGAAGACCATAGAAGAATTGATACATTTGATTTATGGTGTTGGAGGAGAATATTGATAGTACCATGGACTGCCAAAAGAATAAAAAAATCAGTGTTGAAAGAAGTGCAGCCAGAATGTTCCTTGGAGGCCAGGATGGCCAAAGTTAGTCTCTCATATTGTCAGGAGGGACCAGTCGCTGGAGAAGAATATCATGTTTGGTATGGTGGAGGGTCAGGGAAAAAGAGGAAGACCCCCAGCGAGATGGATTGGTAAAGCGACAGCACCAGTGGGCTCTAGTGTGGCAATGATTGCGATATTGTCCCAGAACCAGGGAGTGTTTCATTCTGTTGGCCATAGGGTCACTATGAGTTGCTACCGACTTGATAGCACCTAACAACAACATCCTCAAAGCAACTTTTCTGCCTTATTTCAGGTAGAACGTGATTTTTTCCTTCCTCTGCTGTCTCAATTTTGCAAATCTCTCCTCTGCTAAGGAAGTATTCGTTACACTCCATCTCAGTATTTCTTAAGCTCATAATAAGAACTCAACAAACACTGAGGAAATGAACAAACACATGCATACTTATCTGAGATGTACAGATTTGTTCTTGTCTTCAGTGTTTTACATTTTTTACCCACAAATAGCAAAAGATCAGCAGAGTCTGGAAATGGACTCTCCCTCCCAGTACTTTTGTGTTTATCTGAAGTTCCTCTGACATCACTCTTTACCTGTCCAGGGAAGTTACTTTCTGAACCTGAGTGTACTTCCTCAAGTGCTAATTGGGGTTGTTCACATCCTTTCTGCAGTATCAGTCTTGAGGATTAAGGGGTCTAATGATCCTGTGTGCTGACACCACGTCTCAACATTTTATTGTTGTTGTTAGGTGCCATCGAGTCAGTACTAACCCATAGCGATCTTATGCATAGGAGAACAAAACACTGCACGATCCTGGGCCAACCTCACTATTGTTGTTATCAGCTCTCATATCTTATAAAGGAGCTCTTGTGTAGCCCAAACAGTTCAGATGCTTGGCTGCCAACTGAAAGGTTGGAGGTTCAAGTCTACCAGTGGCATTTTGGAAGAAAGACCTAGTAATCTAAAAGGGGGCTTCATAAAGTTCATGGAAAAAATTGAATTAGAAAGGAAGATAATTTTTCCAGAAACTCTTTGAAACCCCCTAATACTACCAAATACAGCCATTGAAAACTCTATGGAGCACAGTTCTACTCTGATACCCCTGGGGTCAGTGTGGCTGGGAATCAACTTGATGGCAATTTGATTCTCAGGAAGAGGTAGACGTTGATATTGGTAGTAAAAGGCATCAGCTTTGTGTAACTTTTCTCTATAAAAGGATTATCTGCTGACAAACTGATTCTGTAGACCTGTCTTTTACACGAAATTACAAACACAGCCAATTACCCTCATGAATCATTTGAGAGGGTAGAGGTGCCAAAGACCAAGGACAGCATGCTTGGTACAATGGAGGGTTGATGGGAAAAAAGGAACACCCTTCAAGAGGTGAACTGACACAGTGGCTACAACACAGACGCAAACCCAGCAACAATCGTGAGGATGGTGCAGGACCAAGAAGTGTTTCCTTCTGTTGTAGGTGCAGTCGCTCTAAGTCAGAACTGACTTGATGGCACCAAACAACAACATCAAGGAGGAAAAACACACACAGAGGGAGTAAAAGAAACGATAGGACCCCAGTAAAATCACGGGGATATTATTTGTTTGTTTGTTTATTTAAATCAACATTTGAAATAGTTTTCAATAGTTGCTACTTCATTGAGATTTTTAAATTGGATTCATACATTAATTGGACAAGCATGTGTTTATTTGTAAAGACTGTCCCTGGGTGGCACAAAGGGTTAATCACTCGAGATGAGCAAAAAAGTTGATGGTTCAAACTTAGAGGTGCCTCAGAAGGAAGGCCTGGAGATCTGCTCTGGAGAGGTCACAGCATTCTAAACGTTCTAGAGCAGTTCTACTTTGCACACTTGGGATCAGCATGAGTTGGAATCAACTCAGGAACAAACACAACCTGCAGAGAGGCAGTGTGGGATCACTTACCTACCAACGACTTCAGGCAGGAGAGACTAACCTTCCATAAGCATCAGCCCCCTACCAGGCTCACCTCTAAGTTGGTTATCAAGAGCTTATGCATTGCTGTTTGTCGTAAACGCCAGGTGCTGTACTGCCAGCAGGGACCACAGAAGATCCAAAGTCTGTCCAGACATCCATTGTAATATACTTCAATAATATTCACCCAGAGTGGACTGGAGCTGACCCTTAGATGACCATACTTGGTAGAAAGACAGAGAAAGATGCAGTAGGCTAAGAGCAGGAACTTTCAGCATAAACTCTCTGGCATCCAACTAGGACAAATACAGTAGGCTGTGTGCTTCTTCTTGAACAGGTAATCTTTATTTAATTCTCACCACCTCTCAGTGAAAGGATGGATCCTGCCAGCACTATGTAAGAATCTTGCAAATACATCTGAGAAGAAATACAATTCCTTTAAAAATGAAAGATAGTGGTGATGAGAGTTGGTGTGGGAGCAGGTATGAACTAGAAGCTTGATTCAGTGTGAGCAGATTGCTATCAAAGAAGAGAAATGGCTTCACTACTCCATAAATGTAGTGATGAAAACACTATGGTACTCATGCTCACACTAACTATTCATACAATCTTAGTGATTGAATAAACACACGTGTCAAATATTCTGGCAAAGACAGAACACAAGGAAGTAAGAAACCAGGCTTTTAACGATGCTCAAAGTAGGTTCTTGGGTAGGAACACCAGTCCCGCTTCCCAGAAGGCAGAAACTGTGAACTTTTGAGATGCTACAGTAACAAGGGAGCGTGTGGGGGCTGCAGCTTTAGCCTGTAGTATTTCCTTGGATGCTTACATCTGGAGATCAGGCAGTGATGTGGTCACTGGGGCTGGGTACTCCAAAGCATTGCAGTCATCCAACAGGAACACTAGATCCTGAAAAAAGATGTAAATGAGCCAGAGGGTTACTGAAGGTGTCTATGGAACCCATATTCCTATAGGAGGCTATCCTCAAAGTCCATTTTACTGTGAAAGCCCCCCATATCTTATTCTCCAAGGAGAGGCAGTCTTTTCTTCAGGGTTCATGGAGTTTTGCATGTTCTTTATTATTACTTATGGAAGGTGCCCATTCTTTGGTTGACCAGATGGATGGATGGGTGGGTGGATGGATAGACGCATGGATTGATGGGTAAATGGATGGATGTATGGATAGATTTGTGAGTGGGTAGATGGACAGATGGATTTATGGGTGGGTGGGTGGATGAATGGATATATGGGATGGATTTGTGGGCGGATGGATGGATGGATGGATAGATTTGTAAGTGGGTGGATGGATGGATAGATTTATGGAATGGTGTGTGTAGGTATGTATGTATGTATTTTTGAGTGGGTTGATGGATAGATGGGTGGGTGGATGGATGAATGGATGGGTGGATGGTTGGATGGATAGATGGATGGATGGATGGATGGATGGATGGATGGATGGACAGATGGATGGATAATGTGTTTATGGGTTGGTGGGTGGATGAATGGATGGGTGAATAGATGGATATATGGATGGGTGAGGGAGTGAATGAGTGAATCTTAAGTACTGAGCCATGGCTCTGGCTAGGCTTTCGGAACAGCATGACCATCAGCACTAGAAATTGCCTTTGGACACTGTTGTCTAGGACACACTAATCCACACTACTTTAGGATTATTTCCCAGAAGAATGGGAAACCAAAGCTGTTGCCACTGAATCCATTCCGACTCAGTGCATCATAAAGTGGAACTGAGTTTGTTCCATAACAGTTTTTGGCTATAATCTTTATGGAAGGAATCCTGGTGGCATACTGGTTAAGTTATTGACCACTATCTGGAAGGAAGGTTGGCTGTTCAAATCCACCAAGGGAGAAAGATGTGGTAGTCTGCTTGGGTAAAGATGTACAGCCTTGGAAACCCTATGGAGTAGTTCTACTTTGTCCTATAGAGTTGCTTGGAGTTGGAATCAACTCAATGGCTGTGGATTTATCTTTACAGATCACCAGGCCTTTTTTCCATGGCACTGCTGAGTGAATTAAAACTGCCAATCTTTAGCAGATGAGAACAAACTATTAAGACCACCCAGGGACCTTCCAGAAACCAAGGGTAGAGGAAAATGAGGAGAATGGGTGTGAAGAGTAAACACATAACAAACCTTTGAAGCAGGAACAAATCAATTATAACTTAGTAGCCAGTTATCAACATTTCCTGATGGCTTACACAGGCATAAAGATAAAAATTCATGAATTAGCTACCAGGGAGAGATTTTAGGATACCTAGAGTTACTGCAGCACTCAGCATACAGTAGGAGTACAGTTAATAACTTCCTAGTAATCTCATGAGATGGTCATTGTGCTTGTTTCCAGCTCTCAAATGAGAGGAGAAGTAGAGCTCCCTGCTCAGAAGCAGCAGGACAAGAACCCAAGAACTGGTCACCTGATGCTGATGCCCATATGGGATCCTAGAACCCTACAACTCCACTTTCTTAATCTTATCTGTGCGGATGTTCTGTATTTGTCTGCGTGGCCCCTTCCTCCTGGGAGTACCTTAGGGGTGCCAATGTGACAAGGGTGATGGTAGTTGAGGATGGACTCTGTGACAGGGTGGTGGTGGTTGAGAATGGACTCTGTGACAGGGTGATGGTGGTTGAGGATGGACATTGTGACCATATGATTGTGGTTGAGGACAAGATCCGTCACAGAGTGATGGTTGAGGGTGGGCTCTGTGACAAGAGTGCTTGTCTAGGATCAGCTTTCTGATAAGGCAGTGATGGTCAAGTACAGGTTTTGTGCTGAGAGGTGGCCATCAAGATGGGCTTTCTAACAACAGTGATGGTAGAGGATAGCTGTTGTGACAAGGGTCATGTTGGTCAAAGATGGGCATTTTGGACAGAGGAAACATCTCACCATTTCTCCTCTTTGTCACTCATCTTTTCCCTATCCCCCATTTCCTCCAAACCCAGTAAGCCTTGGCTGATGACAAAGAGAAAGGAGTTTTCCAAGGTGCCCACTCACCTGCCGGCAGAATGAGTTCATGATCGTATACAGTTTCCGCACCTTGTCCTTCAGAACATCTACCTGGACCACTTTCCAACAGTGGGGTGATGCCACGAAGTCCCGCAGCTTGGCCAGCACACAGTAATTCTGGGGGTGGGAATGGGGAGGGAGCCCAAGATGTCAGCAGCAGGAGAGAAGGGAGCTGGGTCCCACTTCCTCCCAAATAGCATCTTCCCTTTTCCCATGCCATGTAGTCAGGAATGGGGGATGTGGGGGTCTGGCCTGAGCCCCACATAACCTATGCTGCCTCCTGGGCAGAGAAAGCCCCTCTTACGTGTATATCCAGGTAGAGTCTGGGCAGGTATCTCACACACGGCTCCTGCAGATAAGGATACAGGCTGCTGTCATGCTCATAAGCACACATTCTCACCTGGTCACAGACTGAGGCCAGCTTCAGATCTGGGCTGTCCTTGATGTAACACACACACCATGACATCTGGTGTCACGGACCACATCCTCGAACACGGTCATTGCGCTTCCAGAAGTCAGCTCCTAGAGGTCATCCCTGGTGCCACTTTCTATGAGTTGTTAGGTACCCTAGAGTTGATTCCTACGCACAGCAAACCCGTGTACAACAGAGTGACACAGCCCAGTCCTGCACCAGTCTCACAGTTGTTCCTCTGTTTCAGCTCAGGGTTAAAGCCACTGTTTCAATTCATCTCACTCAGGGGCTTCCTCTTTTTTACTGACCATCTACTTTAGCAAGCATGATGATGCCCTTCTCCATGGACTGGTTGTTCCTGATAACATGTTCCAAGTATGTAAGACCAAGTATCAGCTCACTTTTAAGGAGCACTCTGGCTGTACTTTTTCCAAGATACATGAGTGAGTGAACTAGTTTTGATGTATGTATAAGTGATGCTGTGGGTTAATGTGCCAGACTGCAAAGCCGTTTGAACTGCCAAGGTTGGCAGTTCAAGCTCACCAGTTGCTCATGAGAAACCCTATACAGGGTTGTTATGGGTCAGAACCAACTCGATGGCACTTAACAGCAACAACATACATATATATATATATTGTTGTGAAGTGTCGTTGAGTAGGTTCCAACTCATAGCGACCCTGAATAAGATTTCCGAGGAGCAGCTTGTAGGTGTGAACTGCCAACCTTGTGGTACACAGTCAAGTGCTGATCCTATGGTACCACACCAGGAGTCCATGTATGTGCATATGTTGTGGGTATATCTATCACTATCCACCTATTCTAGGTATCTGTCCATCTATCCATCCATCCATGTATCTATTTACCTACAATTATGGAAGAAGTGCAGCCAGAGTGCTTCTTGGAGGCCAGGATGGCCAAACTTTATCTCTCATACTTTGGACATATTGTCAGGAGGGACCAGTCACTAGAGAAGGATATCATGTTTGGTAAGGTAGAGGGTCAGAGAAAAGGAAGACCCCCAGCAAGATGGATTGTCAAAGTGGCAGCATCAATGGGCTCAATCATGGCAACAATTGTGAGATTGGCCCAGGATTGGGCAGTGTTTTGTTCCATTGTACACAGGGTGGGTATGAGTTGGTATCGACTTGGTGACACCTAACAACAGCAACGGTAACAAATGTTTTTAGTTGCTATCAAATTGATTCTGACTCACGGCACCCCATGTATGGAGAGTAGAACTGCCCCATAGGGTTCTCAAGGTGATTTCAGAAGCAGACTGTGAGGCCTTTCTTTCAAGGTGCCACTGGGTGGGTTCTAACCACCAACCTTTAGTGTGTTTAACCATTTGCAGCATCCAAGGACTCTGTATATGTTGTGTTAAACGCTGTCAAATTGGTTCCTAATCATAGCAGCCCAGTACAGGGTTTCTGAGGCTTTTAAATCTTTGCAGGAGCAGACATCTTCATCTTTCCCCTTTGGGGTCCTGGTGTGGCACTGTAGGATAAGCATTGGACTCTGAAGTACAAGGTTGGCAGATCTCCATGGGAGAAAGATGAGGCTTTCTGCTCCTGCAAAGATGCAAAACCTCAGAAACCCTGTGCTGGGTCACTATGAGTAGGAACCATACTGGTGTGGTACTGTAGGATAAGCACTGATCTGCAAGGCCAGTTTGAACTGCAAGGTCAGCTGTTCAAACTCACTAACTGCTCCTCAGAAGTCCTATACAGGGTTGCTATTAGTCAGAACCAACTCGATGGCACTGAACAACATCTGTGTGTGTGTGTGTGTGTGTGTGTGTGTAATACTGGTGTGGTGCTGTAGTAAACACTAGATTGCTAACCACAAGATTGGTGGAGCAAACCCACCAGTCATTCCTCGGAAACCCTATACAGGGACGCTAAGAGTTGGAACTGATTTGACAGCACTTAACAACAACTTACATATAGATGCTCACATGTATATATTTCAATGCCGTTGAGTAGGTTCCTACTCACAGGGACTCTGTAGAACAGAGTAGAACTGCCCTCATTGGATCTCAAAGGCTGTAATCTTTATGGAAGCAGATGGACACATCTTTCTCCCTGGGAATGGCTGGTTAGTGGCCTTTTGGCTAGCAGCCAGGCGCTTAACCACTGTGCCATTAGGGCTCAAACAGAACAATGATTGCGAGGATAGTGCGGGGCCAGGCAGTGTTCTGTTCAGTTGTACACAGGGTTGCTTCGAGTTGGAACCCAATGGCCGGCGCCTGCCAACCAGATGAAAAGCTGACGCATGCGCCTCCCGCATGTTACAGCCGGCTACATCTAGGCGGTAGAGTTACAAGTCACGTTCCCCTTCTTTACCTTTGTGCATTTTCCAAAAGTTCTACAAATCGCAGCACTTTTATAAGCAGGAAAAGAATAGGGTAGTGAAATGGTTTTTAAAAAGAAAATAAAAGGAAGGTGTTCCTTGAGCTACCATAGAATGTAAACATTAATATCAAAGAAACAATTACGTTTCATTTGAAACATTTTACAAGTGGTAAAAAGATACTTAAATACTACCCATTGGAATAATTATGCTGAAAGTATTTAGTTTTTCCATTGGATGAGCAGGTAGGTCCCCAGAGCTTCCCCTCCTGAGTTCCTGGATCTGCTTCTTAAAATAGTACAGGCAGACCTGAGAAATAGGGCAACACAGCTAACATCGCCAGGAGTGATGTTTACCCTAGACTATCATCTACGAAGTGGGCAATATCATCATGAAAAGCACTTGAAATGTTGTCAGAATGACCACACAAGGGGACACAGGGACACAAAAGAGTACTTGTGCCTCTAGACTGGTTTGATGCATGGTGGCCTTTGATTTGCAGGCAGTGAGATAAGCTGAGGTGTGCCTGTGAAGGTCACAGCCACGGACGTGCTGAGTGTTTGCACCCACAAAGCTGCTCTGAGTGTCGCACCAGCTCCACGCCCTCAGCCCTCCCCTTTTACGGATGAGGAGACTGGGGCGTGAGGGCTGTGTCATCTGCTCAAGGTAAGAATGGTACCCAAGACTGTGAGCCACCCCTTTTAAGAATTTTCAGTGAATGAATAGGATAAACCAGTCTACCCAGCTATGTTCTCAATGACTCCCCTTCATCATGCCCTGCCCCCATGTGTCAGAGAATAGGCTTCTCAGTGGCTGATTTTCAGAAGTAGATTACCAGGCCTTTCTTCTGCGCTACCTTGAGAGCCCTTGGATCTCCAGCCTTTCAGTTAGAAGCAGCCTTTTAACCGTTCGCTCCATGCAGGGGCTCATAAGCTGATTTTTTGTTCCTCCTTGACTCTGGAGTTCTAGGCTTTGTTTTTTGTTTTTTACGTTTTACAGCAGGTCTCCAGCCTGTATAGTGATATCGTTGATTATTTTCTGTTGCATTTTTTTAAAAAAGCAAACCACTGGCATGGTCTTTCCTGTTGTTGGGTGCCCTGGGGTCGGTTTTTGAATCATGCTCATCCTATGGGTGGTTCAACAGTTAAGGATTCGGCTGTTAACAAAAAGGTTGGCGGTTCAAACCCACCCAGACCTGGTTTTCTGCTCTGGTAAAAAATGACAACCTAAGAAACTCTGTGGGGCAGCTCTACTCTTTCACTTGGGGGTGCTATGATCGTCTCTAAAAAAAATGGGGATCAAACACAAATACACAAGTTCCCTTGATTGTAACAGAAAAGAAAAATAATCCTTAGATGGGGAAGGTCAGAATTCAAGTGGTTGGGCACTGGTTTTGTGAACACAAGCTCCTAGGGGAACTCACCGAGAGCTCTGTAGCTTGCAGGTTCTGGTAGGCACCAGCAATTTCCCGGCTCAGGCTTAGCATCCTGGAGTAGCAGGTCGGGGGTGCGGGCTGCCCTGCAGGGGGCCAGGTCAGGAGCAGCAGCGCCAGCAGCCAGGGCGTCATGGTGGAGAGGTGGAGAGGCGGCTTCGCTGCTCTGCGGAGGTCTGCCGAGGACTCCCCTTTCAGCTGCAGCCTGGGAGTGGTCCCCTTGCAGTCTGCTATACACGCCCTCGTTTCCTGTGGGGCCCAGCCAAGGTCTGGCTGGCTTGGGGATGGGGGAGGTCCCTTGCTCAGAGGAAGGGCTATGCCTGAAGGGGAAGCAGGGCCTCTGTTTCTGTAGAAGGGTCTTTTACATAAACCAAATGACCTATGACAGAGATGGCAGGGACAGCAGGCGATGTCCCTCCCCCTCCAGGACAAGAGGAAGATGGGATGGATAACTGGGTTGTTCAACAGAAGCTGGGCATGGTCAGTAAGTCCCTTCAGGACTAGCAAAGATGGTTTTGTGAAAGCAGTTGATCACCTGGGGCAGAATGGGGGGAAAGGCCTCACTCCACCCAGCCAGTTCAGAAGTATCAAGTGACCTTGGGAGTGGGAATCCTGGAGTCCAGGAAGGCCAGTTGTCCTCGAGTTGGTTCTGACTCTTGGTGGCCCTGAGTTTCCAGAGTGGAACTGCTCTATAGGGTTTTCAATAGCTGTCACCTTTCTGAAGTGGATTGCCAGACTGTCTTCTGCGTGGACTCAAACCTTAAACCTTCTAGTGAGCAACAGAGTATTTGCACCACGCGGTGGAGGGGGGCGTAGTGCTGATCCTCGGGACAAACGCCCATCCAGCCAACACTGGGAGAATGCAACTCTTCGTCTTGAAGACAGGGCGCAGCTTGTGATTCTCCGACAAGCTCCAACACATGCCCGGTGCAGAACAGACATAGGAGGGATGGGGGAGAGGTGGGGTCTTCAATACACATGACATGGAGTGATAATTTCAGCCCAGCCATCACCTCTGTGTTTACAGACTCCTGGTGTATTGTTGTAGGATAAGCACTGGGCCACAGGTTAGTTTGAACCATAAGGTCAGCAGTGCAAACTCATCAGCTGCACTTCAGAAACCTTATGCAGGGGTGTTATGAGTCAGAATTGACTTGAAGGCACTTCACAACAACAACCAGCCTATACAAGGGGTGGAGCTTCAGTAGTAGACTTCTCTTCCATTCCCGGCCGACAGCTCTCTTATATAGCTACCACCGGCTGATCCATGGAGGCTTGTGTGTTGCTATGTTACTGAATGAGTTTTAGCAGAACTTCCAGACTAAGATGGATGAGGAAGAAAGGCCTGGAGCTCTACTTCCAAAAATTTGCTAATGAAACCATATGGATCACAAATATCCAGTCTGCACCAGATGATGTGGTTGGCACAGGATGGGGCAGCATCTGGTTCCCCCGTGCATGAGGTTTCCATGAGTGAGGGACTGATTTGGAGTCAGCCAACAGCAACAACATACAACAGTGCAATAGTGAAAGGGGGTAACATTTTTTCTTAAGTGTTTGGGTGTAAAATGTGCTTAGCCCCTTTTTTATTTTCCCTTTTTATTGTGTTTTGGAAGAAGTACAGCCAGAAGGTTCCTTCAAAGCAAAGACAGTGAGATTTTGTGTCTTTCATTTTGCACATGTGGTCAGAAAGCACCAGTCCTTAGAGAAGGACATCATCTTGGTAAGGTAGAGAGAGGGTCAGGGAAAAAGAGGAAGATCCCTCCATAGAGATGGATTAACACGGTGGTTGTTAACAATGGTTTCAAATGTGAAAACAATCATGAGGATATTGCAGGACTGGGCTGTGTTCCATTTTGTCATGCACGCATAGGGTTGCTATGAGTTAGAATCAACTTGACAGCACCAAACAGTTTTGGGAAGTAGGGGAAGGTTTATGGAGCAAACCAGTTTTTCCATTCAATAATTCATATACATTTTGTCTCATGCTATGAATTGTAATCCTTACAGTGAAACATCATTTACCCCACGTCCTCCCTGTGTTTCCTGTTTCCATTCCTCCTTCTTTCTTAAACTTTCTAAACACAGTCCTTGGGTAAATGCTGCTCATTTGATCTCAAATGGTTAAATATTCTAAGGAGTGCATGCCTCACTAGTGTTCTTGCTCCCATTGTCTGTTGTTTGGCTGAAAATTGAGCCATCGGCTTGAGTTCTTTGGATCCTGACCCTGGATGAGTTCCAGAGCCTTTTTATGTGAGATGGGATGAAGAATCCGTGGCTCAGATGACCACAGTAAGGGTCCTTGTCCAGACTGACCAGAGCACCGTGTCTAGTTACGCAGATTGAGAATCTAGGTCTGAGCTAACATTAGCAGCTTCATCTATGAGACAGATAGTAAAGGAAACAGCCCCATTTCCCAGATGGAAAAGGAGAATCCAAAACTTCCATTGACTTGCTCAACATCACCAAGCTGTAGGGCAGGGTATCAAAAGGAGATTATCTTCTGACCTCTTAACATCTCTCCACCCCACACTGTGGAAGGGGATAGAGGTTTGACTCTCCTGCTACACAAGACCAAGGACAACAAGGACATGGAGCTGTCCAAGAGAGTAGAAGATTCTCACTGAGCAGCTGCTATATCAGCCGCACAAGACTGAGAAAAAATAAGAAGAAGCAATTCATGGTGACCCCATGGGCAAAAAAATGCACAGCTGCCAGTCCTGCGCCATCCCCACAATCTGTTGCTGGTGGGACCACCGTAATCCATAGGGTTTTCATTGGCTGGTTTTCAGTAGATCTCTAGGCCTTTCTTCCTAGTTTATCTTAGTTTGGAAGCTCTGCTGAAACTCGTTCAGTATCTCAGCACCACACAAACTTCCACAGACAGGCAGGCAGTGGCTACACATGAGAGGCATTGACAGGGAATCAAACCTAGATCTTCTGTATGGAAGGTGAGAATTCTGCCCCTGAAGCACTACTTCATGTCAATTTAACACTGACCATCATTTATATAGTAGCATCGGTGAGGCAATCTGCTTTGGTAAAGATTGACAGCCTTGGAAACCCTATGGATTGTTTTTACTCTGTCCTAAGAGGCACCTATGAATCAGAATCAATGGTTTGGTTTTTTATTTACTTTTTATCACATATCTGAAGCCAGTACATCATCTGCTGTGCTCATGCCATGAGCCTCGCTCAAAGTCACAGAAATGGGTTCTGCTGTCTCCATTTCCCAGGCAGCAGATAGGAAGGTCTCAAGGATCTGAACCTGACACAGTGTCCTCAGCTAACAAGGACAGCAGTGGAACTCTGGACCAAATGTCCCTGTCTCCAAAACCTCTCACTATCAGGGAGGCAGAGAAGGGACTGAAACATGCCCCACATGTACAGAACAGAACAACCAAGACAAGGATCAGACTGTTGAGTAAAATAGAGCATGGTGTTTCAGGTAGGGAGCAGGGTTGCAGATCAACATCTGAGCTGGAAATCCCAGCTCCAGCCCCTCCTCACTGTCTGGAGAAATCCCTGGAGCTATGTCTGAGATCCTTTCCAGCCAAGGCAGTCTATTTATCTACATTTCTGGTGTTAAAAATCCTGGACAGGGCTCAAAAGTTTCCTGTTTTGCAGGCAAATGAGTTCTCTTAGCACCATGATCAGCTGTCCCTTTAATTACTTCTCAAACAGAGCAGAGCTGTGTGCTTGGCGGGGGTGAGTGGCAACCACAGATGTGTTTTCCTGTAGGAAGAAGGCGTCTCCACTCTCTCTTAGTGGCGGTGCCCAGATGTGGGCCTTTCAGGCACACCAGACTGTCCCTGGAGGAGTTCATGTTCAGGACAGGGAAGGAAAATTGCCATGCTGGGAGACAGGAAATCTCTGTGCTCTTGAAGGTGGGGTGGACCAGAAGCTCCGAAGTCTGACACCTTGTTCTGTTCCAGAAGTGGTGTATGAGGGGCTTCTTGGACTAGATTTTCTCAGAGTTTCCAGGAGGCTCACAAGCTCTCAAGGCAAGGGCTTCCTGGCACATGGTGGTACAACGGCATGGACTGAGACAGTGGACATCCAGAGAAGGACAGGCTCTCTCCTGAGGAGCTCACAGGCCAGTTCAGGTGGGGAACAATCAGAGAATCAGATGGTGACAGCATGGAGCAATCAGCTGTACCCAAGGGATATGACCCAGCTAACTCTGGGGGTGGAAGGGGTAGGGGGCGGTGAAGAACAGGGAAGGCCCACAGGAGAGGATGTGGGAGAAGGGAGACTGAGAGGGTCCTCAGGAAGGAAGCATGGAGAAAGGGGAGACAAGGAAAGCCCCCGGGGAGGAGCTGTGGAAAGAGGGGCATCAGGAGGGTCTCCGTACAGGAAGTGTGAGAAAAAGGGAGACCGGAAGAGTCTCTAGGGAGGGATGTGGAGACAGGAGGGAACAGGGTGGACCCCAGAGAGGAGGTGTGGGTACAGGGGAGACCAGGAGAGTTGCTAGGGAAGAGCTATGGGGAAGGAGCAATCAGGAGGGTCCTCAGGTAGGGGTGTGAGGAGAGGAGAGACTAAGAGGATCCCTAGGGAGAAGGTGTGGGAAGAGGGGAGAACAGTAAGGTATCCATGGAGAAGGTGTAAGGAAAATAGAGACCAGGAGGGCTCCCAGGCAAGAGGGGAAGGGAGAGGAGAGACCATGAGTGCTCCCAGATAGGAGGTGTGGGGAGAGGTGTGACTAGGAGGGCTCTTGAGGAGAAGGTGTGAGAAAAGGGAAGACCAGGTTGTTCTGTGCACAACACATGGCTTGGTGTGTGCCCTCAGGACTTCCTGGGCTTCTGTTGAGTCTCCCTGCATCCTGAACATGTGGACATGACGCACTACATCTGTGTTCTTCTATGGCCGGGGCCCCTGGAGGTCAGAGGTCTCTCATCTTTGTGCCTGCAGTGCCTGTGCATGCTCGTGAAGTCCTTCTTGACCACCTCTTTTCCTGGAGCCCTCAGGAGCAGGCCTGGTCTAGAATTTGAATGTTTAAAGTCCAGGGGATAAATAAAACCTCTGTCTTCCTCCAAAGGTTCAAAGGTCTCTCTCAGATGGACACAGGCCCATCATGGCCTGGCCTGGTGAGGCTGGGAATGCTGGAGCCAGAGTTACATGTTCACCATTTTCTT